GTAGTCTTCTACGGATGATCTCGGGTCGTCGATGCTTGGCGGCTATAGCAGTGTCGTCTGCATATAGGGCCAGCATTGTGTCAGCTGTCTTTGGTACGTCGTAAGTGTAGATGTTGTAGAGCAGGGGGGCTAAGGCGGACCCCTGGGGCACGCCTGCTTCCAGCTGTCGTCTTGTTGAGTGGCATGTACCAATCTTCACCGTGAACCATCTTTGTGTTAGATAGCTCTGGATCAGTTGGCACATGTTTGCATCGATTCCGGCGGCTTCCATTTTGGCGATGAGTCCATCGTGCCAAACTCGATCGAAGGCTCGTTCCACGTCCAGCAGGACGAGGCCGGTTGCCTCCTGGAGATTGAAGCCACTGGTGATGTTTTCTGTCAGTCGTAGCGGTTGGAGTTCTGTGTTGTGGGAGGATCTGAAGCCGAATTGCTCTGGGGGGAGAAGTTCCAGTTCTTCTGCCTGCTTCTCTAGTCGAACGGCGATAGCCTTTTCGACTACTTTGCCCATCGAGGAAACCAGGCTGATGGGCCGGTAGTTCTGAGGCAACTTCCGGTCCTTGCCTGGCTTGGTGAGCATTATAACCTGGGCTTCCCGCCACCACCGCGGGAAGTGGTTGTCTCAGAGTGGCATTGGCGATGTTGGTGAGCGCAGCAATGCCTTTGGAGGGAAGGTTTTTCAGCATCCTGCCGTCCCTTCCCGGCGCCTTTCTGACCTTCAACCTACGGATGATCATACGGATTTCCTCTGGACTGGAGGGGTGATCCGTCTCCTGGCCAGGTGGTCGTCTCCTCATGATTTCGGCTGCGACTTCCACGGCCTCCTCGTGGTTGCCGTCCTCGTCTTCATGGTATTTCTAGCGAATCGGCGAATGCTTCGGCTTTTTCTTCACTGGAGTAGGCCAAGCCGCGTTGGCCGTGAAGAGTGGGGATCGTGGTGCGCTGACGACGAAATTTTCGATGCATAGTCCAGGCCGTACCATCCTGGGTCTCTAGTTCTGCACAAGCTGCATTCCATCTGCTGTTTTGGAGTTCCGCGAACAGTGTAGTCAGCGCAGCTTTAAGGATGTTAATAAATAATAGTTTAAAAAACTAAAAAACACGCTTCTATAGTTAATCGGACTAAGAAGTAGAAATTGATTTCTAATTACAAATAATTTATATTACAGTAGTGGAATAGACAGAAATGAGTGACTTGGTCTTTCGTGATCAGCATGTCATGGAATATTAAAAAAAATATAATATTTAAATTTTTCGCAGTTACAACATCTCCTAGCCCAGAGGTGTAGGAACTAAAAGAGAAACCAATTTTACGGTAATCGATTTTTTACTTGCACGTCTCTTCCTTGCATTTAGCAGCTCTCCAATCATCTGAGCAGTAGGTATCTGTCTGATGCGTCGGGCAACTTAAAAAGCGACATAATCATTTTGGACAAAAGTCTAAAACATATTCTTTTGCATATTGCTCATTACTGCCTGTCGAGTCTAAATGATAAGTGCAGTGAGAATATAAGAAAAACAAGAACATGCAGCTCGCTCATTATTTCAAATTCCTTCTCATACGTATCTCGCCAAAGTTTTGTTTTTTTGATCAACTTATCGTACGGCGTAGACAGCTTGAGTTTCGCCTTTCCAGCTGCTGCACTTTTTTTTCTCGCGGCGCTTTTTCTTACTCGCGCTCCAATTTGAGCACATGCAGCGTGTCTTGACAGCAACCGGCTTAGCATATAAGAGGCTTTTCTCTTGGCCGTAGCAGCTGCTGACTTATGGTGTTCCTGCTTTTTCGGAACACCAGATATAATTCATCGCATTCACGACGACGACTCACATTATTCAACGAAACGCGATGAAATTTTAATAGATCCTCCCAAGTCACACGCCCCACTCTTCTACTCGTCTAATTTATTTTGATTTGACATTGTCGTCATTCAAAAACGAGATCAGAATACTATTGAAATTCCAAATAGTAAGTGTTCGATTCAAATAAAAATATCGTGAGTGTATTTAATATAGAGTTCTACCGGTTTTTAAATACCCGGTACGTGTTTCGCTACTTCCATATTGGTCATAGTCACTACGCCAAAGGAAACATCACAGGTACCTGTCCCAAATAAGGCCACGTTAACGTTCGGATAGCAGTATTTGCGATACGATCATGAAATTTTAAAGATATTATTCTAGGAATATTCAGTGAAACAGCTGTATCGGAGAGCTCCGAGAACTTTTTTGTCGTATAAAAAATATATAATTTTTGAAACACTACTGTTGGTCTTATTAGAAACCCAGGGATCCAAATAAGCACATGATCTAGTTTTTAATAAAGCCACACGCAAAATATAAATCAAGACTGTTGAATAAACGTAATTATATTTCCAATTAAGAACAATAAATAATTCTTAAATCCAGATAGATTTCAAGTAAAAAAGTTCGTATTCGATGAAAAACCTGGAAGACAAAACGTTACGCGTTAAATATGTTAAGCTTCAAATAAAAAGCTATATGTTATTATTCATATCATAATGTTTCTCCATTGTTTGAATAAATCTCCCACTTTTGTGCCCTTGAGAGGTAAACTCGTACAATATTATTCTGAATGGAAAATACTCTGGTAATCGGTTTATACGAATTTTATCCAGGAGCTTTGAATGCCACTCAATAACATATGAAATTCATTTTCAAAGCAATTCCCCCCAAACATAATTACGCGCGAATCTGGCCGCGCTTCCAGAGGATTTATTTTTGTTTCGGCTGATAAAATTCTCTACATATTCGCTGACGGTTCAAGTCGATTAATTTGTTTAGTTTTATAGGTAACTTTATACTTTTACTTTGTCGCGTTATTTTAAGTTTGTAGTAATTGTATTTTTTCACATAGAAAGCCTGTTCATATTTTATACAATGTAGACAGTAACGCTGCCATTAATACTACACAACTTGGGGAATGACTGAATAGGTGAAAATGTCAACGCTGCCTACGATGTTTGAATTATATCGGGTATTTCAAATTCCACTCTCATCCAATAATTCTTGGATACGGTAAGAGATACGAAGACGCTTAAATGGAAACAAAGTTTAGCATTAAGTAACTACTGGATATTATAAAAATAAGACTTTTCCATATCATTTGAGGGCAGTTGCAGTTCACTAAACACACTTTATATCTGTCATATCTAAACCGATGTATACATCTTGTATTCAAATACTAGTAATCTACGACTGAAGTTAAATGTAGAGCGCCTCCATCGTACAAAATAGCGCTTGTTATAGGTGGTCAAATTATGAACGTACCTTAAACACGCTTCTGGGAAAAGTGAATCATTGTTAATTTAATCGGATAAACATGTAAGAATCTGTCATTTTCAAGGCCAATTATGGAAATATTATTTTTTTTAAATAACTTGGCAATGCTAATGTGTTGTTTGTTAAGTATTTTTGAAATCACAATCAAAAACTGTGTTCACAATATGACGTCCATAACAAAAAATAAAGCTGACGATTGAAGACAAGATACGAAACCTGATATTGAAATTCTACTTTTGCTATCTTCCAGAGGAGAAAAAATGGCAATGTTAATGTGCTTTTTCTTTTCAAATCTCATCTCAAATGAAGTAAAATAAAGAAATATACTAAGTGACATATAAATCCGAACGCCCAGTTTGAATGGTTTTATTTTAATAAAATTTTGTATAAGTACTTAATGAAGCATAATAAGTAAATGATAAAAATTTCAAAATGATTGCACTGCTTTAAAGCCCTTTGACCTTTAATAATGTGTGGATGCACCCTGATGTACTACGCATTCTCCAACGCGCCTAGGCATGCTTCTGATCAGGTGGTCAATGTCCTCCTGTGGTATCTCATTCCAGGCAACCACCAACTCCTCTCGAAGTGCTTCTAGAGTCTGAGGAGGACGCTGCAAATTGAGCAATCTCCTACCCATCATATCCCACACGTGCTCAATTGGGGATAAGTCCGGAGATCTTGGTGGCCATGGTAACAATGTGGCATCATTATGTTGAAAGAAGTCTATTGTGACTCTTGCAACATGTGGTCGGGCATGTGTGAATTAAAGAAAAGCAGTATGAAAACCGGAATGTCCAACTGATAAGGCTGAAAATTTTTTCACTTGTTATTTACAGTAAGATAAATACATTCACCAATTTTTATTAAAATAAAACCATTTAAACTGGGTGTTCGGATTTATATGTCACTTAGTATAGTATACAGAGTGGCGCATCGAAAATGAAACAGACGCATTTACAGCAGCTCAGTTTTTTTTTAAGAACGTTCAGACCCATCGCGCACTCCTGAATTCGTCTTTATACAAAACAGTGTATACACAACAGCAATCTTGAGCAGAAATATTCTTTGATGCACGTTACATAATATTTTCCCTTGATATAGATTCAACTTCGTTAGGTCTTGGTATCTTCGGTAGCAGCGAATTACAATATCAATAATCCCCATGAAGCTCGTCGAGTAAATTGAGAGAGCGCTGCGAAACGATGCGAAGGGGGTTAAAATCAATAGCCCCATCAAGCTAAATCTCGTTTGAGGTTTTTACTCCAGCCTGCCTCATCATCATCATCATAAAAATATATGAAATTCGAGTTCGGTATCTTCCCTCATAGGATACGCCACCGCTAGATGGCTTATAGGCACGAAAGCTCGCTCATTCGGATATTGGAGGGGTGGGGGCACGTTTCCGGAAGCATCTTCCTGAAATCCCTGCGCTCCCCAGGGGAACGTTGTTAAGCTTGAGGAGTACAAGATACACTTTCATCACCGATCATTATCGGCTATAGGCGCGTGTAACTTGTGTCACCTACTTCATCGTTACCATCTACAGGTAATGAGGTATGCATTTTTTCATATACGTGAACACCACCAGGAAGGCATACGCTTAAACACCCGTGGGCACCTTAGTACCTCCTCCTTCGACAGTTCGAGACCGTCTACCGCCTACTGATAATCACAACATCCATAGCAAAGAGAAAAATTACCTTGGAATGGGATTCGAACGTGTGCGGATCATGTCGACTCATTAGTAGATATGTAAGGTGTATCACTACGCCACGGCGCTGCAAAATAAACTCAACTTTTTGTTACAAAACCGACACAAATATAGTCGCCTGGTACATTCGAATGCGCCTATTTTCAAAATATTTGATGTCATTCCTCGTAGTCATAATTATGTAAAGTTGAAAACTCGCCTTGCCAAACCAAAGTATAAAATAAATTACTTCACCTTGTAGGGTCCAGAATCTTAGATAATGGCAAAAAATAATTTTCAGAAATCCTACCAAATCTGTTCTAAGTTCAAAGGCTATCAAAAAAAACCATAGAAAAACAAAGGTTGTGAGTAATTTGAAACATACAAAACATAAAAAACTGTTACCTGAAATTCAAACGCTTCTGCAGCGAAAGCCAAAATGATATTTTTGAGATTGATTGTACATCCTGTATCTTCGACTTCAAAAAGAATGAAAAACGACAATATTGACAGAAGCGAATATCAACTTCAGATAGGTGGTAACAGTAATGTTTTACTTATAAGGCCATCAAACTTTACAATGCATCAACACCGCCTACAAACCTTGTGAACAAAAAACAAGACAAGACATTTATTTTTGAACAACAAATTTGGAAGCAACCATCACACCTCATTTATCTAAATTGTAAACATGAACTATCCTTTTAAAACATGAATTTGAAATCATAGGTGGATTTATGTAATATTTATATAATATTACTATCTAGTATTGTGCTATAATTTACACAGTGCTTTTCTTTAATGTCCCCCTCCCCTTTGATTTTTTTAATTGATCAATTCAAAAAATTAAAACTTGAGGTAATGAAATTGATGCGTGGATACCATATGTTAAAGTAATGTTGACAGATGAAAATGTCAAGATGACCGCTGGCCGCCATCTTGGAAAAAAAATATATGAAAACGGGGGTCTTGTGGCACATCATTTTGAACGACTGGAATAGAAATGCGAATGCGAAATTGTTCGCGCAGGAACATTGAATACTAGATAGCAACAACAAATGAACTATTTTTGTTACAAAATTGCAATGAAAGATATTCTGTCGAAAAACAATCTACCAGCATTTCTAGGTAATAAAGAGTGATCGAAATCCATTTATTCGTGTATTCGCCAGCAAAATACATGTGTACACGTGTAGAAATTTGCGTTTATTAATTTTCTGTTTAGCATGCAATGCATTCATTTTGAGCGATTGATGCGTCCAGGCAAATATTTGCAGTCTGCTTCAATATTGGCCGCCGGTGCAGCACAATTCGAAAAACAATTTCGAAATTATGCAGCGGATGAAGAGTTAAAGATACACCAATACAGAACAAAGCTGCTAAATTGCCGATGCCCACTTCTATATTCGGTTACACAAATAAAATTAGCGAACAAGTACGCTTTTACAAAATAGCAAATAGCTGCAGCCCGTAAAATTGAAATTTGATTTTGACTGTGAAAACCACCAAGTAAAAGCTTTACACCAAACATTCTGCTGCTATAAGTTCTTAAGCATACATTTTTAGTGGTGCAGAGAAAGTTATTGGCATCCATGTCTATCAGAATTACGTTCAAAAATTGCGAAACGTCAATATCACATGCATTGCAGCATGTTCCTATATCTCAGAAGATTTCATGAATTTCAGGTACCCATTTGGCTATTGAAGTACGTCACTGCTCCATCAGGCGTTTTTTTTTGCGGCCTATCACTCGGGGCAACTCTCGCGAGCCGAAATGTTCGCACTAAAAGCGTAACAGAAAAAGTTTTCCACTTCCTGATGAACTATGAGGCAGAAAATTCGAACGATTCCCGTGAAAATGGAACGCGAAGAAGTAAAATATGGAATAAATTGTGCGGCGCCAGAATATGAGGGGTCTAATGGATTTTTAACAGTTCTGCCTCCCGTTCGTAGTCTCTCAAGAAGGCAAAGTTGTATCCGGGAAAGTATCTCAAATATAAGACAAGTAATCTGCGTTCAGAAAGGATATCAAGTAAGTTATATGCTTTTCTCGGCTATTATTTTCAGTAGACCTAAAAAACTGAACATAAAAGTTATTAATGCAGGCGTATGAAACGATCATCTCATCCCCAAATCCATTTCGAACGATCACAAATCATGAACGAAAAAAGTGTCAGGGCACGTCTCGATCCGAAAGGTATAAATAAAGATCCGGGTGAAAGACGACAAGCGCGGGTAAGTGCCAGAGTGGCAGTCGGTTATCTGAAGCCGGGCATGCCGCCGCTGCCGGGATGTCATTTCACGGGGGCTGCACAATTCCCGTTCAATCAAAACGTGGCCCCGCGGCATCCACCCGCGCCAAACCAGCCCAGGCCATCGAGAATACTCTTCTTGCCAAAGCGCCGCGCCGTCTGAGGTTTGAGAGATCGCTCACCGCATCCGGGCTTTCGTCCGGTCGTCCCGGACAGACTGCGAGGATTGTGTTTTGACGAGGGTAACTCGAAAAGTTATAGCAACTCAGGACCTAGAAATTACTGAACAAATGATAGTACAGACCTGTCAAACATTCATACGAAAATAAACATACTTTCTGATCGATGAGGAATAGAGTGAAACAAAGCAAGATACGTTATGAGACACATAGAGTAAATTTCTGTCAGTGTTACCGATCTTTCGCTAGATTTACCAATTTTACTATTCTGCCGAACCACCGATTTCCATGAGAAATCTACTGAAACGATTTTCAAACTTTTGAATACTATTATAATATTTCTGGTGTGATTAAACGTATAATAGAAGAAGGAGAAGATTGCAAATTTTGCTAACAATATAATTCTATCTATGATGTCAAATACTATTTTCAAGTCAAGAAACACAGCAATAACATATTTGTTCTTGTCAATTCCATTTTTAAATTTAGAAACAGTTGATTTAATGTCAGTGTCAGTTGAGTGCATCTTAAGAATTGCAGATTGTTGATAATAAAGAAGATGTTTAACCAGTTAGTTATAGACAGTTTTTCGAAAGGACGGTGTTCTTGTGCTTTTATTGTTTTTGTTACTTTTTTAATAGAGACAACTGTGCTGATCATTCTCATCTAGTATAACAATTGTTTATAGTGTTGTATTTACAACATTTAAAATTACAGGACCAATGGTGTTAAAAATTTACTTCAACTTTAAAGATTTTCATATAAGCTTGTTATCTAATGATTTTATGTTTCCTTCTATTATTTGACCTCTCTCCCCCCGCGCTCTTCACTTTTTAGAACTCAATAGAACATCAAGGTATACCGCTCTTCATTTTCAACCACCGGCAACTGTTTGCTGTTGGTTCACCGTCTACCAAAAAATTTTACGATCTCTCGAAACTTTTCGTACAAATGTACTGAAAAACAGATGGACTATCAATGGCAACACTGATTTTTATAGGCAGTAGGTTATCCAGAGCCCCTTTGATTTTCTATCGGATATCTCATAACAACATTCCAACAAATATGCGTAAGATATTATTATAAAGACATGCTATTTCTTGAAATATGTCCGAGGATAAGACTACTATGACCTAAAAGCAATATTGTGCTTAATATTTTATACAGGGTATCAGTAAAATGACGTTATCGGCCATCTCTAGTTACTACTGTTTATGAGAAATCTGGATATGGTGCAACAAGTGTGAGTTACTATCAAAATCAGTCAATGACTAGTTTATCAGACTCTGTATCCGAATAGTTCTCTTAGCTTCAATTTAAACAACGTGCTAGTTCCATCTCGTATACCTTTTATTTTCCATTTTTCCATCCGCATTCATAGCCACGTTTACAGCAGTGGCAGTGGGGGTATTAGAGCGGGAAGGAAAACCGTTCCTGCCACAGGAAGGAAATTATGCTGCTGCTCCAAGAACATAATTCTTCTCGCTCCTTTTCACCTTCTATCCTAGCGGGAAAAGGAGCTATGCTGGTAGACATAAACGTAGTTACGTGATTTTTTTTGAGATTAATAACAATGAAACTCTAGTTGTCCAGTTGGAAACATCATCTATATAGTGATAAATAAATATCGACAAGTAGAACTGCTGTTTCTTACGTACATAAAAAATATATAATAATAATCGACAAGAATTTTGAACTTTTTGAAAACGTGCAAGGGATGTTGTATCTAGAAATGATAGGCAAACCACATCACATATTTCTTTTACCTTTTTCTTCCCACGTCAGGTGTAATTACTAAGATTTCGTAAATGAGATATTATGCCTTTTAGATGTTACATGACATGAAGGATTAAGAGTAACCATGACATCTATTTCAGTCGGTATGTCTGCCTACTTACCCTTTCTCCCTCTACAACTCGGAGTATTTTGGTGAAAATTTCACATAAGGTTACTACTTTGCTGCAGACAAAAAAGCTTGATAAATAATTAATCAATCGCTGTTACAAATTCATACCTTAAAAGTGTATTATCTAATTTTGGTTTAAATAAATATGATTCCGAACGTACTTGTAAATTTTAACAAACTTCAGGTTATGCTGAAGATGGCCAGCCAAAGGTAACGACGAGAAAACAGCGTTGATAACTAAACTCTACTGATGATTGCAATTTATTATTTTTATAGCAACATCTGTAATTTACAGGTGAAATAAGATTCTATATGTTCTCTTTTTTTGTTCCTCCGTGGTGCCGTTTCCCTAAGCCACGTACACATCCATGGCGAAGCTGTAACAGGGCGAAAATTTATTTTTGCAATAAAATACCCGTCGGGCCTTAGGCGGTGACACCTCAACCTCCCGAAACGGGAAAACTAAAGCCGGTCGCGTCGCAACGGTTACGCTACGAATGCCGCTTTTGCGGGAAATATTTCGTTAGAGGAATACCGGGCGGAAGGGTACAAGGTGGATCAAGTGAGCTGTTTGAACAGAAGCAGAACAAAAGGAAAGCATTGTGCGGGAGTGGGATTGAAACGACATCAAGGAGGCTAAATAACATCGCGGGTCGGCCACAATTATGGTAACTATTTAATTGGAAAGTGTATCGTGTAGGCCACGTTGTGATTTAAAATAGAAGAAGAGCCTCGCGTGTGTCAGAAAAATCAAGAACACCTACAAGGCTCAATTTAACTCTGACAGCTTACAATGGCAGGTACTTTCCTACGGATCAATAAATCTACAGGGTGAGGGACAAAATTTTTATTGTTGGAAAATTACTTTTATTCAACACAAAATTACTAGTTACAATAAAAATAACTATTCGCAATAGTTGTTCAAAGTGTCCACCTTCACACTGTAAACATAAATGATAGAAAAATATGGATATTGATCAATGTGAGCCAAAAATCATTGCTTTCAAAACATTTGCATATTGAAAGCTTATCTAATTTATTGGGTTATTTTGAATGACTCCAATATACGCTATGAGGCACCCTGTTTCTGGACAGTCTCGCCAGCAGCAGCATGGTAGTATAACAGCATTAGGGAATTACAGGAGACAATTTAAGGTTATATTCGTAAGCGGCGGACGGTCGAGTCTCGATTTATCTCGGTCATTAATTACCTAATACTTTTGGGTAATTGGGTATAGTCTGATATACCCGACCGTCTACCTTTGCAAGGGCAACGAACGTCATGCCGTTATCAAAGCCAGACGTGTTTTTGTTTATACTCAAACCAGTAGCGAATATTACAATTAATCTTCTTAATGAACTTGGAAATATTTTAAAATATGCTCTCTCTCTTTCCTTTCTATACACAGGGTGGCCAATATATAACTGACATTGAAATTGCGCGTCATTTATAAATGTGTCCAGTGTCAACACCATTCGTCAGTTGGTGCGGAAATTTGATCAAACAGGTGAAGTTAAAGACAAAGTGACATTATGCTGTTTTTTTGACATTATATAGGTTTTTCTACAAGATATTAACTTAGCACTTAGTTGTACGTGTTTCCTAAACGTCATGAGATTTGTTATCAATCTGATGTGATGTAAAATCTGCTTCTGAGATGGCATTACTGGAGGTCTAAGTTATAAGTTGTATGTGTTGATGATAATTACATTGGTTTATTGTCTCAAAATACACTAAATTGAGATTCAAACCTAGTTGCGTATTCACTTTTCCTTATACATTCTGGAAATTACATATACGAACTTGCTGAATTACAAAAATGACAGATAAGAAATAATTATATTCACTGTACATTGTCGAATTACAAACCATACCATGCTAACAGTAATTACACACAACGCGTGCGCGGTGATGATTCGTAGTGGAGCGCCCTGAGACGTCTACAAATCATCGTTCTCATAGTCATAATGTACTATTTTAAAAAAAGACTTGCGCTTGCGGCCAAGCAAAATTCAGTTGACCCAAGAACTACAGCCTAGCGACCGTGAATGTCTCCGACAATACAGTATTGCAATATTGCTGTTTAATACCCAAAATAACGATTTTTACGTTGTTAGGAAGTAAGAATCCGAATCGTACAAAAAACGACAACAGAATACGACCTTGACAGATCTAGCAAACTATTTGTCACTTGTCGATATGGGTTATTTCAAAACGTTACTAGATAAATAATTTGCTCTTACGTTTGACCTAATGGATACTCGTGAAAAAGACTTTAAGACAAAGTTCAGTCAAAGATTCGATATTATTTCCTTTCCAGTCTACAACTTTTGCTGTTAGATCTCGAAGGTCTCTTCAGTGCTATTTTAGACTGTTTCCGGCTACTTTGTCTCACCTATTTCGATATTCACTTGACAAGCATTTGCAGCGTTGTACGACGTTGATATGGGCCTGTTTCAATAGCTTGATCCAATTATATTTTCCGTTATACATGGTAAATTCTCCTTGAAACTACGCAGTTAATAACACAATGTTGTACCAGACATACAGGGTGCTCATTTGGAATCTTTCCACCACGGATTTATCGAAAAGAAAAAATGCCGAGACACGTCAAAAAATTTGTCAACTTTATAACCAAAAACTACTCCACCCCGTTTCACCATCTGCCCGCCAGGGTTATCCCCTTAAAAGTTTTGAATGACAAGGTATATCGAGTAATCTTCGAAGTTCTTTATTTTGACATTTGATTTTTTATAATCGGTTGATTTGTCTTCAAGAAAATTAGAAAAATTTTTATTTATCTTAATTTGTAGATAGACAACAAAAACACACGGAAATATCACTTTTTATTTCAATAAGTGCTCAAAATGTTGCCCGTTACGGTTTGCCAAATTCACAATTAGTTTATGATTTAAAACAAAAACTACCAACATAAAGAGGAATTCGGAAGATAAGCCGTGGCAAGAACCAAATAACAACACGATTGTTTTGTTTTCCGCATTATTTTCCGTAACACAGATATCCTGGACTGTATTTGAAGCGTTCGGACGAATAACGGTCCATGTTACAAATTATCAAAAATCGAGTGTTGGTGTGAATAACGGTCTATGAACTGTATTTCAAATTTTTATGGACATGACCCTGGGGCATAGAGGGTGAAGTAGTGTTTGGTTAAAAAGTTGTTTC